CCCCGGAATGGACATCGCAACCACATATCTTTGATCTCCAAACCCTCGGGCCATACTGCGCCCTGGCAACCCGCAGAGTCAAAAGAGGGAAGACTCGCAGGCTACCTGCTGACTGGCAGCTTAGGGTCAAAGTCCTGGAAGAAAGGAATTCCCAGCACTGCCCCCCTACTCCCCCAAGGGCAGCCCCAAACCCCACAGTATAACAAAGGACATTTCTCGATTACTTTAATAATCATTCTTTCATCTTAGCATAACACGTTTTCCACACACAAATGCCAGCCTCTAGTCCCTGTCATATGCATATTCAATGCCTGCGTTTTTGCAGAAACAAAGTTTTATATTGCATACTTACATGGTGTATAAACGCATATTTTACTATGAGATTGTTTTTCTTCTTCACTTCTTGTTTTCTTCCTCTCCACTCCTTGAGTACTCAACAGTAACAGCCAGGGGTTCTTTCTATACCTTTCCCGCGATCATTTAATCATAGATTTGCATATATGTACATATTTGTGTGACTCTAACCCAGTTATGTCATTTAATCCTCACAATAATTCTTGACCAGTTATGCCCATTTTAGAGTTTAGGAAACTGAGGATATGATTTCATTTTAAGTCTACTGAGTCCTTACTACTTACCAGCTTCTATGCTAAACATTATGTATCTTAACCTTTAATCTTCACAATGTGCTATTTGTAGTTGAGGAAACAGATTACAGAGCTCAAGGAAAATTGTAAACAAGTGAGTGGTAATGCAGCAGCCTGTGATTGCAAAGCCAGCGCAATCCTGTTCCCTGTCACTCCTCGAAAATGCCCTCTGGACTGAAGGGAATACAGAGAAGTAAGAATTGTTATGCTAAGAGGGTAGTGGAATGATAAGTGGGTTATTACAAGCATCCTGTTATGTTACGGTAGTTATTTTAATCATTGTTTTCCTCACATGTAAAACAGCAATGAAAATATCTGAGTTGCAAAGGTCCTAGTAGAATTTAAACGAGACCACGTTAAATCTTTCTAAAATCTACAAAGCAGTATACAAATATGAGATCAATTAAAGTATTGTATTAATAAATGCAGTTTACTGGCTTTCTTTTTTTTGTTTTATGAATGTAATATTATTAATCCCCAAAGCAGCTCATCCGTTGGAAGAAATCAAACAATACTGAGATGCATACTGAAGTTCGTCATCTTCTCCCTCATACCCCCTCCCCCAGCTCCATTCTCCTCAGGTAACCAGCATGGTGTTTGGTGTGGATACTTCTAAACTTTCAGCCCAGGGAAATATTTCATTTAAACAGATACAGAAGCTGTCTTGTTTGGTTGCAATCGTACTATTCACACTCCTCTGCAGCTGTTTAATAATTCCACTCAGGCTGCTGACTCATTTGCACAATATCCATAGTATGAATGCATCTTCATTTACTCAGTCATTATCCAGAGTATTTCTTCAAAAGATTCTTTTGGAGAAAGAACAAACACCCTTCCCCCTTCATTATTTCTCAGTGTCAAACGCTCGCATTCCCTCTGGGCAGGTTTGTGACCTTTCTGGGTAGTGAAAATCTACCAGGTGCCTGAGCTCTATGCCAGCAAACCGGCCTTGTTCCCAAAGCTGTTCTTACCCACATTGTGGCTGCTAGCAGGAGGAGCTGACCCCAACGTTGCTGTCAGCGTTTCTGACAATGCTCATTGGGTGCCCTCTAAAAGCTCACATCATTTCAGTAGGCAGCAGTTAGGGAGACACGCACTGCAGCAGCTCCTGAAGAAATCCTTCAAAACTTCACACTGACAGGCAATGACCGAGGAAGCCCCTCTAGGCTGTTGGGGATCAGCATACCTTTAGTCGCTGGAAGCGGGATGTCTTTCGCCTCCCACTGACGTGGATAAAGGCCTTCTGCCTGTTCCTCTGTCCCAGCTCCTTCTCTCCAGTCAACCTTTTCTTCCTCACTTGCCACAGTGATCCTAACATCTCATCATGTCCATCCTCAGCTCAGAAACTTTCAATGGCTTCCTGTTTTCTCTGGAATAAAGCCCACCTTTTTACCACAGAGTTCTGGGAAACTCGCCATTTTCAAAAGAGAAGCCCTGTCCTCAGACCACACCCTCCTGCCTCCGGATGCCATAGAAGTTCAAGCGCTGGAAAGCCAGGAGCCATCTACTTCTCCTTCACCTATATTCAGTTAATTCCAGTGTCATGGCTTTTATGCCTCAAAAATAATTCTGAAATTGATCTATTTTTCTCCGCTGCACTATTGAGAACGCTTTCTCATTCCTCGTCTTCTCCCCAAGCCTTGCCATGGGCTGTTCCTGCCCTTCCCCCACCTTTCCTTAGTGTCAGAGCAAGCAGAGGAACCCTGCTGTTCCAAACACGGGGCGCGAGGAAGGTTTAGGGATATGATTGTTGGAAGTAGCCGGCACACATTGCTCCTGTTTATTGTTTTAAGTCGTTGTCCACTTGAGGTTAAATTTAAAGGCAGTTTATGGCAAAAACATTATGGGACTTTGTATGGTTGAATTTTGCCATATCTGTTATGTTTAGGCCAGTCACCTGTAGACACACTTGTTATGTTGTTCTCATGATGTGAGTATGTTTGGAGGAGGGGAATACCTTTACAGGTGGAAGAATGTTGTATCTCAGGCCTCACCTGATTTCTTCTTGGGGGGAAAAGATGAAAGTGAGCCCTTCGGTGGCAGCTACTGTAGTTGCAGGGATAGAACCTCCAGGGGAAGTCTCCTTAAACAGTGCCTCACAAATCTAGTTATGGAAACAGCAGATGTCCCTCCCAGAGGTGGGCCAGAAAACATCCAGAGTTCCTGCTCAGCCCTAGGCTTCTCGAGGAGTGAGACTGAGTGACTCTATGGCAGATGGTTAGGCTGGAAGCTTGCTCTGTCTCCACTTCCTTGGAGAAATATAGCCAGAGTTTATGGTGTAGATGCATCCAGAGAAAAGTACCAGTAAGAAACAATGTGGAAAGAAGAAAACCACCCAAACATGATCAAATTCTGCTTTTCTGTCTGTTACTAGGAGGTCAAGGTCAGAGTAGGTAGCTAATTTTCAGAGTTTCTCTGCACCAGCCCTTACTTCACGACTGTTGCCTCCCTGAAAGGCAGAACCTGGAACCTGGAAGATGCGCCTTTTCATGTCACAGTGTCAATAGGCGCGCGGAGGCTCTCCCATGAGAATCCCTCCCGGGCAGGCCCGGCTAGAGGTGGGGGATGTAATGTACTCACTCAGTGAAAGAGAGGGGGTTACACTAAAGGGGACAGCATCAGGCGGAGCCCTGTGGGTGCTAATGTCCCTGCCCATTTCCCCTCTCATTTAAATTAAAGCCTAAGGTCCCTTTCTTTTAGAAAACTCCCAGGATTTGAAACTTTTATGTGTTTTTAGCATGGGAATTGTTCAACCATCTTTTTCTCTTTAACCTTTGCCAAATATTTATTGCAGTGACTGTCACTTGGCTATTTGTTTCCTGCAGCTATGTCAGAGTTATACATTATGTTCTCCAAATTCAATTCCACAAGCATGTACTCCAGGACCAGGCTTTATGCGAGGCGTGGCTGGGATGCCAAGGGCTGCCCCTTCCTACGCGGGGATCTTACCTATTAAGGAGGTGGCTGACATCAGTTACTGTGGCCTGACAATAAGTGTTATGAAGTACAAAGTGCTAAAAGGAGAGGCAACTGTGAAGGGAGGGGGCCCAGAAAGATGCCAGAAAAGCAACACCTTGAAGTGGGGGTAGGGTTTGGAGTCAGGAGAAAGGGCTCTGGGAGAGAACAGGACACTCTTCCGGCTACTTCCAGCTACTGTGGAGACTTGCTAGGTCTCGCTGGCCCAGCCCCTTAACGTCCCATGCCTGCTTTCCTACTGTGGCTGCAAAGGCCCCTGCAGGATTAAAATGAAGGAAGGCCTGATTAGATCATGTGAAAATGTACAAATCCTTCAGCAGTTTGGTACGAAGGAGTAGACAAAACGCTGACTAGGAATCGGAAGAGCTGTGATTTGGTCCCAGTTCTGCTCTTGCTGGCTTTGTGATGTTGGGCAAACCCCAGCACCTTTTGGGAGCCGAGTTACACCATAGGTAGCTGTCTGTAATAACACCTGCCCGGCTAGCTCTCCGGGTGTTTGTGAGGGTCAAAGGATCAACAGCTGGGACTGGGGGTGTGTGCCGGAAAGAAATCACCAGGATCCCTGGCTGGGGTGAAGAGGAAAGGAGTTCAGGGCGCAGCAACTGAAGCAGGCTGACCGAGGGATGAAGAAAGGGGGACACGGGTTGGCCAGGGGCCAGGCAGAGCCTGCGAAGAAAGACAATGCTTACGCTGTACTGAGAAGGGAGGGTCTGGATCAACTGAGTCAATAACTGGGACGTGATTTTCCAGCTTACAAACTGCTCATAATTTTGTGGGACAGGCATTACTTGTCTGTAAAATGCAAGTAATCATGCATTTTGACCCGTCAAGGTTGTGTCTAGCTGGTTTGTACCAAGTCAGCCCAGCATGCCACGTGCTTCCCTGTGGCACATATCAGACACGCCGTGCTATCAACGCCACTAGCATTGCCACAGCCCTTTGCTCTGTGAGGTCTCCCTTGAGGGCAGGGTCCTCTTTATGTCCCCAGTCCCTGGCACAGAGTAGGCACTAAGCAAATGTCTCTAGATTGCGAGCCCTGTGAATTTTGAAAAGGACTTGGTCCTGGTACAGTCTTCGGGAAATAACAGAGAAGACACTTGTTTGGAATAGGTATGCAGTCAGTTTTCTTGAGGGTAGGGTTATGACCCTTCCTGACGTATGATCATATTTTATAAATTTGAAAAAACTACCATTTTTGGACTAATTCCCCAAAATAAGAGTCAACCATAAATAATTAATAAAAGTTTTATTAAATCATTTAGACTTGAAAGAAGTCACAATAGTTAACACACTTAAGTGCGTTCTGTATACCACCAACCCAAATGGATTGAGTTCAGAATTTTTATAAATAAAAAATAAACATATTTACAATGAAAAATAAAAAAATGTTAGCAAGGTAGATGATTTAACTGTTATCTATAATCAGTTTTTGGAAAGTACCAACCTATAGGATTACATATAAGACACTTAACATTTTATTAGGTTTAAAAATTCCATAATTAAAGAAGTTAGTTGTAATATGTGATTCATTTCTTACTACGGCTTTTTTTCATCCCAAATCAGAACGTTTGACCAATTTACATAAAAAGCTTCATTGTTCCTTTTTTGGAGGTAAAGTACAAAAGAGCTCTCCCTAAAACCATCTAAGGAATAAAGGTATTCAATACTATAAATGCCACTATAAAACTAGCTATAGATAGAAACCATTATACAATTTGTGCTACTTGTCCTCCAAAATAGTGCAGATTCCTAATTTACCCACCAGGGACAAAAACGGAGTCAGCTTCTTTGGAAATCAGTTTCAAAATCACCACTGTATCTCTAGAAAGCATATTTCTAGAATAACACAGTTACCATATGTAGGGACTTTCATTATTCTGTACTATAAAAATATTTCTATTTTAATTCTCTGTATACTTTAGGGATTGTTTCCACCTCCCCAGGCAAAAGGTGAGGGCTGTAAAGTGTGGCCAGCCAGGTTCAAGAGACCAACAGAGAAAAAGGACCACATGTGACTTAGTGACAGTTGTCTCCTAGAATACAGCAAAATCGAGAGCTGGCTCAAATTCGGGTATGCCCCCAAAATCCAGTTTAGATCTGACTTAGAAAAAGTAGTCTGAAATAAATGAGCAAAGAACAAAGTTTTCAAGTCCATAATTTTGGAAAGTCACATTCCTAAGAAGAGGGCTATACTGTGTCACCTTCTTGGGGTGCGGGCACAACGTAAGGCTAGCTGCTTGGCAAAGGGCTCTGGGAGCTGCTCGACTGTCTTGAATGTTTCATTCCTGATGAACTCACGGAGCGAGATCTCTGTCTGAGTACTGTTTTTCCTGGAAACTCCAAGTCCTCAAATATAGCATTTTCAATGATAGTTGTCGCTTCAGGCCGCTCCATGGGGGATGGAGAGAGCATGTCTTGAACCATCACATACTGAAATATAAAAATTGTTTTGTAATAAAAGAGCCGGGTTGAGACCACTCAACAGTCCCCTAACTCAGGAGTCAGCAAAATTTTTCTGTAAATATATGAAGTTTGCAAGCCAGTTTCATGCAACTTCTCAACTCTGCCAATGAAGTACAAAGGTAGCCGTAGACAGTGTGTAAGTAAATGGGCATGGCTGTGTACCAAAACTTTATTACAGAAACGGGTAGCAGGCTGGATCTGGCCTGGGGCTCAGAGTTTGCCAGCTCCTACTCCAAATAAATATGAACCATGTAATTGCTTGTTTTCTAACATATAATAAGGTGTCTTAAGTCGTATCCTTGAAACTCAGACATAATCTGACTTTAAAAATAAATTCATCTTACGACTGCTCGTGAATGTACAATTAACTCAATAAAAACTTAAAATATAATCATGCCAGAGATCAATACCTAACACCTTTTTTTGACTTTTTTGAACCTCTATTAATGTAACATATTCTTACGAGTCACCTTGGGAACTGATTCATCAAATTTGCAAAACATATAATGAAATAACTTTTAGTAAAATGTATTTTATTTTAGGTTAGTGTACGTCTATATTATTATAAAACTCAAATTTTTTTTTTTAAAGATTTTTTATTGGTGAATTGGGGGATGGGAACAGCGCTGGGGAATTGGGGGAAGGAGAACAGACAAGTTGCTGTGCTTTTGTTCTTCAGTCTAGTTGTAGAGGACATTGCTTCACTGGCCCCAGTTGGCACCATCATTGCGCTCTTCCCGGGCGAGGCAGATCAGTCGCCGGCTTCTGGACAGCTGCTCACGGCGGCTGCTGGCCGCTCATGCTGGCTGCTGGCTACATACAATAGCCCATGGCAACCCACTGCCAGAGGGGCTGCAGCCTACGCCGTCACTGGCAACTCACGGCAGCCCAGCTACAGGTTGAGCTGTTGTTCAGCATCTTAGCTGTAGAGGGCAGTGTCACTGGCCCTCATATGTGGCATCCGAACCGGGGCCCTCTGGCGTCCCAAGCCAGATCTTAACCAACGTGCCACTCTGTCGGCCCTATAAAACTCATTTTAATGTAACCCTTTTTTATACTCATAATATTGAAACATAAATTTAGCCTTTTTCCGATTTGATAACACAAGTCTAATTTACTTCAACTTAATTAAGAAAATTCAAGATTTATCAATGTATAAATTTTAAATGTAATAAAAATAAACAAAAGCTCGGGTCAGCCAAGTGGCACGTTGATTGAGTTGGCTTGGGACACTAGCTCTGAGCATCAGAGCCCCAGTTCGGATCCCACATGAGAACCAGTGACGCTGCACCCTCTACAGCTAAGATGGTGAACAACAGCTCAACCTGGAGCTGGGCTGCCGTGAGTCGCCGGCAATGGCATAGGCTGCAGCCCCTGCTGCAGTGGGCTGGCATGAGCTACCATGAGTGGCTGGCAGCCAGCATGAGCGGCCGGCAGCTGGCGTGAGCTGCCGTGAGTGGCCGTCAAATGGCCGGCGAGCAACAGCCTCACCCGTAAAGAGCACAATGATCACAATACCAACATGGGCCAGTGAAGCGATGTCCTCCACAACTAGACTGAAGAACAAAAGGACAGCAGCTTGTCTGTTCCCCTTCCCCAATTCCCCAACACTGTTCCCCTCCCCCAATTCCCCAACAAAATCTTTAAAACAAAAAAATAAATAAAATAAAATAAACAAAAGCCGCAAAACGAAATTTCAAAGGTTCATTACACATGATTTTCACCATTCAAGACCAGCTAAATTTTCCCTTCCCATTGTTCTGAGCCATTTACTGTGTCACTCTGGGTGGTATAACGCTAACATACGTAATCAATGGAAATTAGTGTCCCCCCCCTCCCTTTAAAGAAGCCAGTTTTTAAGATTTCTCCCAAATTCACTAAGATAAAGAAATTAATGGTATGATCATAACAGCAACTCCATTCCTGTGAGGCTGTGCTAGGAGTTCCGCCTTTTGGAAGTAAAAGGCCACCATGATTCCCAAACAGGAAGTCAGGCAGTGTGGAACGCAGCACGCCAGGCCCAAGACCTGGGCTGTGTTCTGGTCTTTGCTTTTAGTGAGCTGTGTGGGCTGGAGATCAGGGCTCTTTCCTCTCTAGACCATCAGCTTCCTCATCAGTAAAACGGGGAAACTGCTGAAATGACTGCTAAGGACCTTTTACGTTCTAAGTGTGATTCTAAGGAAAATAAAAGATGAGAATTATACGAACCTCATGAGGATATTCCTGAGTAAATAGTGGTGGAAATCTGAGATTTCTTACATCGGTTAAGACCTAAAAAGAAAGAAAAGTGTTACTTACTTTAAACCTATTTTGATATATAGATCTATTTAAACATAAAAATATTTTTTGGATACCCTAACAGCGTGACTAAGGCGAAAGGATGAATATTAAACAGATGGAAAACTTGTCAATAACTTTTCCCGACTTGATCATCTATACATAAGTGCTTCCTGTGCACTTGTCATCAAATGTACATGCCATCAAATCATCAAAACCTAGAAAATAATTCAAATATAATTATGCTTGAACTCAATGTCAGTACATATGATACTGACAGCTGGATTTTAACTGAAAATAGAGTGATTTGTATAAAAAAATAATTCAGTCATTCATGAATACATTTTGTGTCCTTAAGTGGACAACTTCTTCTGTTAGTCTCTAACCTTTTTTCCATTTGATAAGAAAGAGCATATTCTTTTTATTTTTCTTTTCTTTTTTTTATGAGTGAAGAAAACCAAGTCAATTATGCTAAATACTGAGCATAAAACTAAGCTTTTGAAAGTTCTTTGGGGGGCTGGCCGAGTGGCGCGTTGGTTAAGAGCTGGCTTGGGATGCCAGAGGGCCCCGGTTCGGATCCCACATATGAGGGCCAGTGACACTGCCCTCCACAGCTAAGATGCTGAACAACAGCTCAACCTGGAGCTGGGCTGCCGTGAGTCACCGGCGACGGCGTAGGCTGCAGCCCCTGCTGCAGTGGGTTGCCATGTGCTACCGTGTGTAGCCAGCAGCCGCCGTGAGCGGCCGTCCAGAAGCCAGCGACTGATCTGCCTCACCCAGGAAGAGTGCAATGATGGTGCCAACTTGGGCCAGTGAAGCAACATCCTCCACAACTAGACTGAAGAACAAAACAACAGGAACTTGTCTGTTCCCCTTCCCTCGATTCCCCAATAAAATCTTAAAAAAAAAGGAAGTTCTTTGGGAAATTTTCAAGTTACTACTTTCTTTATGTTCTGGTTTCCTTATCTACAAAACAAGGATAATAGGGCCCACCTTATACCAGTTTTGAGAATTAAATGAGGTAATTCAGGCAAATCTTTAGCACAGTACCTGATACTCCTTTTGTAATGATGACAAAAACCAGTTTTGAGAAATAAAATAAAGCAAATACATCTTCACATTTCTTGAGAAATAAGCTGTAGTTTACTTTTAAAAAAGTAAGAACCAGTTGGCATTTTTTACTTCCCACTAAAGGGAAACATAAGCTTAACTAGAAGAATCTATCCTGCAGGCCCTAGGAGGGAGGGTTTCATTCGCTGGCAGGCAGGTCACAGCAAACCAAATGCTTCATAAATGCTTCAGCCTGGACTCACGGCAGTGGTTCTTATTTTTTATTAGTTTCAGGTGTACAAAACAATGCAATAGTTATCTTTTTCACCCCTTACAAAGTGACAACCCTCCTCCCCCCATCCACTGCCTCCCCGAAGTGATTTTTAATCACATAACATTTTTTTTTTTAGCTGAGCCATCCTGCCACCTGTTGGCAGCTCAGCGGCAGCTCAGCTCGGGCTGGGACTCGAATCACTGTTGCTCAGAGCTCAAACTCCTGAGCGAGCTCTTAACCAACTGAGCCACTCAGCCAGCCCTCACATAACATTTTTAAACAAAGATTTTTATTTTAAAACTTAGAACTGAAAAAACACCTTGGCTGTAATTCAATGGGGAAAAATAGTCTTTTCAACATAAAGCATAGCATAAAAGAAGAAACTGATAAACTGAACTTCAAAATTAAAACTTGCTGACCTTTGAAAGATGACACCATTAAGAAAATAGAATGGCAAGCCACAGACTCGAATAAAATAGTCACAATACATCTATCTAGCAAAGGACCTGAAAAGATGGTCAAGTCCTAAAAGATTAGTCATCAGAGAAATGCAACTCAAACCACATCATGATTCCATTATACCCCTACTGAAATGGCTAAAATTGTTAAGACTGCAACGTAAGTGTTGGCAAGGAAGTGGAGGAACTAGAACTATAATACACCACTGGTGGGAATGTAAAATGACATTTTCTTATAAAGTTAAACCACTTACCACATAGCTTATCAATGCTACCTAAGTGATGACCCAAGGCAAATGAAAACATGTCTTCAAAAGACTGTTCACAAATGTCATAGCATCTTTATCCATAAATGATTCTCCATAGGTAAATGGATACATGAACTGCGCTATATATACAGTGGAACATTGAGTAACATGAATGAATCTCAAAAACTTTATGGTGAGTCAAAGAAGGCAGACACATATAGAGCATATACATTGAAAGACTCCATTTCCATGAAACTTTAGAAAAGACAGAAAGTAGCAGAGTAGTTGCCTGAGATGGGGACAGGGGCTGGAAGGAAAGGGGACTGACTAGGAAGGAGCAAAGGAAGCTTTCTCAGGTGAAGGAAATGTTCCATATTTGAAATGTAGTGGTGGTTACATGGGTATATAAACTTGTCAAAACTCATCAAACTGTACACTTCAAGTGCATACCTTTTATTGTATGTATATTATTCCTCAATATAATTGATTTAAAAAAGAACCTTGGTCAAATCACTGAATAGTCTGTTTTACTTTCACTAAAAGAATTTCAGAGAGGTTCTGGCTAAACACAGCAGATTTTCTACTAAATTTTCAGTACACATTTTTACTAAAGAAACTGCAAAAACATGTAAAATGCATGATAAGTCTATAAGGATGAGTGTAATGGAAGAAAAGATCAAATTTTTGGAAGAGAGAAAGTGGATGCAAGCACAGCGACTACCTTAGCAGAGCAAAGGACGGTGAGCCAGGGTGCCTACAGGGATAATGCCAATGGATAGGGAACTGACCAGCTGTGCAGAAGTACAGAAGGCAGGGTAAGGCTCGAGGAGGACAACAGAACTGTCTGAAAATATGTGTATGGAGTGACACATATAAACATGTGAGTTTTATTTTCTGGAGAAACTGGACCAAGAAAATGCAAGATTTAGGGTCACTCAACAAAGAGGAAAGGTATCTATTGGGGAAACGGGCATGGACGAGGCAGTAGGAGGAAGTGAAGATCTGCAGTAGGAGGAAGTAAAGATCTGCATGCTAAACAGGAAGACACTCTCCACTCCCCTAGCCCCACCCAGCCATACTCTTTCTAGGCAGGAGAATGAAAGCTACTTCTCTGGAGAAAATGTTTCTAGAGAAAAGGCCTATAGATAGATACTGACTGACATGTGGGAATTCCGCCCCACATCCCAAGGTAAGAACTGAATTGTAACCCTTATAGTGAAGCCCATTTCAGTCTGCATTTTAGAGCCCTATTCTTAAGTATGAATAAACAGCTAAGGATTATCAGTGTAAGAAAAAAATAAAAATCATTAAGAACTCCAGAGCTGGAGATGTTGGTAGGGAGGGAAGTAAAGGGGTAGCAGAAAGGAATTTTTTGTGGTGATGGAACAGTTGTGTATCTAGATTGCAGTGGTGGTCACACAAATTTATACACGAGATAAAATAACACGAAACTATATACATACATTGTAGCAATGCCAACTTCCTGGTTTTGATATTGTACTATCATTATGTAAGATGTAACCATTAGCAAAAATTGGGTGATGGGTACACTGAATCTCTCTGTACTATCTCTCTAACTTCCTGTGGATCTATATTAATTTCAAAATAGGAGGTTAAAAACAAAAAAAGGATCCAGAGGACATGAGACAAAATAGTGAGGAAAAAACTTAAAACACATGCCTACACACAACTGAGATTCTCAGAGAGAAGTGAAAATACGAAATCCATGTACAAAGAGTGACCAATGCTACAAAAAAGGAAGAATCTTGGACCATAAAAATTGGATTGTCAAACTAAAAAAGTAATTAGGAAAGTTGGAATAACAAGTTAAGGAACTCTTGCAAAGAATAGTACAAAAAGACAGAAAAATGGAAAATAGGAGGGAAAAAAAGGGTGTTTATAGGATTAAGTCAGGGATTCCAGGAAAAGAAAACAGAAAATTTGGAGAATAATTTATTAAAAAGTAATATAGAAACTTACTATAACTGAAAGATTCACATCTTCTAACTGAAAGACCTACCAAGTATTAAGTACAGTAAGTGAGGGGGGAAAAAAGATCAATGAAAGAACTAAATTTCCTAACAGCAGTGATGAAGGTCAAGTCCTAAAAGATTCCAGAAAGGAAAATAAAACAGGCCAAACAGATCCCATATAGAAAAACCCAGCATTAGATTGGTATGAGCTTTTAACAGCAGTGCTGTAAGCTGCAATGTTCTGAGGAAAACTGGAATCTGGCCAATTTATCAATTACGTGTGGGGATGGAAAAGAATACATTTTCAGATACCTGGGGACTCTAAAAACTTAGCTCTCATACATTCTTCCTGAGGAACTTACTACAGAATGTACGCTAGGAAAATAAGAGAGTAATGCAAGAAAAAAAGGAGGACATGGAATCTAGGAAACAAAGGATCCCAGCTAGGACAGTAGGGAAGTACATCCTTGTTTGACAACTTAGAGACAGTCAAGGGGGGAATCAGAACAGACTGGAGAACAAAAGCTTTGTGAAGGCTCCAGGAAAAGAAAAAATCTATCCAGATAGGTAGATAGACAGATAAGCTATACTGAAGCACAGAGAAAATATTGTTTGATATGTGACAGACTGTGAACATTTGTTAAAAATTACAACAAAGGGGGGCCGGTCGAGTGGCGCGACGGTTAAGAACTCGCTTGGGATGCCAGAGGGCCCCGGTTCGGATCCCACATATGAGGGCCAGTGACACTGCCCTCTACAGCTAAGATGCTGAACA